CGTTACGTCATGTGGTGTTATTCGTAAAGATTTTTTTTGCGGCTACGTCAGTTGGTAGTTTGTACGGTGTATTAGACGGATCTATACTCTTTACCCATAACCTATGATTTAATGTTTGTATCAATCATTCTACTAACCCTATGGTCGTCTACCGTCGCGAATGGTAATTTTATGTTGTTAGTATTAGAAAAAAGTTGAAGAAGTATTAGAAAAGGCTCTTATTTTTTGGGCTTGGTCTATTGTAGTTGTCGGGATATCCCATTAATCGAAATAAATCGTTGCATAATTATTATGACAACATCTTTCTTAATATGGTTAAATTATTTAGTTCATCAGGTAGCGACCCGGCCAAATCTAATTGTACCTCTTCATTAGGTTATACAGCAGGTTCCATTTGGAATGTGTTTTTCTTTTCCCTCAATGGTTTTGAGGTTTTTACCTTGTCCTGTGCAATGATTGCAGATTTACGCCATCTGGAAGATCGACTGGTGCATGCGCGGGAACCATACATGTTGACATAGGTCCAGCATGGCAGCCGATCTCGGGGGTGCCAAGTGTAGGCTGTACAGCATTGTCTGACGCAGCTGTGTAGAAACGAAGAAATGTTCGTAGATGAGCAGACAGCCCTCGCGCACATGTAGTTGGTTGCGTACGTTGTACCAATACTAGTCGTATATGGACTTAATTGATTACCAATCCCGTTTTGAAACAATTTTGATGAGTGGTTTTAGGTTTCTATCTTTTCTGGTAGCGGCAGCAATGTTTTTATTTGACACCAAGCACCTTTTGTAGTTTTTGTCGAAACAGCGGAGTGTCCTCCTCTGGTTCCGTCATTTTTGCTTGACTGACTGACTGGCCATTATCGCTCTATGATCATATGACGGTTGCCTCGAGTTGCGTGTTTGTCATCGTGGGGGGTTCTTCATTTGGTGCACATTCCTCCTGACTGGCTATGTTGATATTGATCCGGCTCACGCAGTGTTTGTTTATCTCTGGCTGTGGATTATTGGTTTGTGTGGTGGCGACTGCTTTATAGTCTTCGGTTTACTTCTGGGTGTGGTTCGTTTCCTGGTTCGTTTTCACTCTGAGTGTGGTTAGTTTTTCTATTTTCGTCGCGTCTTCATTGAAAATGATTTTTGGGAAATTCTTTGTCGGTGGCTACGAGGAAAGCAACTCTCGCGCGTTTTTGACGGTTTTCTTTGGTGATAAAGTGGTGATGGCTTTCTGTTAATATTTCTTGGCGTTTGGGGTTCGTTTATGCCACCGAAGGTCCGACAAGCTCTCCTCTCTTGGCAAAAGACCACTGCCAGTTTGATGTTTTCTCTCTTTTCTTCCTCTAGGTTCTAAGATCTTGACCTTGTCAGGAATGAATCCGCCTTTAAAATTTCGGACGTCTGTTTTTCGATTCATTTTCTCGATTAAGTTTATGTTATTGACAAGGTTTTTGAATTTGTGGTCGCCAAAAAATTTTTCTAAGAGTTTTATGGCTGAATTTATTTTCTGAGTTAAAGCTGATTGAGTTTCGGGTTGATTTGAGTAGAACTGATTTTGTTTCAATGTTTGCAAAGGACCACCTTTGGACTTTACGTAATGTTGTTCTTCAATTGCGAATTCAATTATCCTTTTTTTTCCGCGCGCTTTTTGATCAGCTGACACGGTGCCATCATCCGATTGGCTAAACTACTGAGGATGACGTTGTTCATGAATTCATTATTTGATGCAACAACAAATTCCTCATCGTACTCGCTTGAGGGTATTGCAGTTCCAACTGGATTTCTTGACATTTGGTCTATTAGTCCCATTTTGTTACCCGCCAAATGTTTGATACCAAAATGGAATGGGATGAGTCGGTCAATCCAGCGAGTTAAACTGCTTTGACTTGTTTTTGACATTTCACTTGCGTTTAAAGCGTTGAACAAAGCTTTATGATCAGTGATGACAGTGAAATTTTTTTCCAAAAACCAATATTCCAAATGTTCGATGGCCCAAACCTCTCCGAGTAATTCTAACTCCTTGCCTGAATGTTTTTCATCCTGGGAAATTAAAAAATGTCATGCATAAGCTATTGCCAGCCAGCCTTCTTGTGAATGTTTTTCGAGTGACGCTCCTAGACCTGAGGTGGAAACAACACATACTATGCGAGTTTCCAAGTTTTGATCCAAATTTTTGTTTTGTGTCATTTGCGAGACTAACCTTATGATATTTCTAAAGCATGTTTTGTGTTACAGTTTCTAATTAGTTGTTTTATTTTCTTCTTTTTTCTAGTAAAGGATGTAGTGGAGCTGCCGTTTATGCTAAATTTGGGATGCACTCGGTGAGATGGTGTAATGAGCCCATAATTTTTTTTCGGTTGTTTCAAAGTTTTTGGAGGTGACAGCTTTTCAATCGCCTCTGTTTTACCTGTTAAAGGTTTAGTGCCCTCGTTATTTATGGTGTACAATAACCACTCAACTTGTTTACACGTAAACTCACTTTTGTCCAAAGATATTGCGAGATTTTCCGCATCTAGTTTTTCCAAGGCCGTTCGAAGTTTTTGTTTGTGTGAATCGATTGATCACCTCGTTACTATTAATATGTCATCCAGATATGCGTAAGTGTTCCAGCAATTGGTAACGGTCAGATCAATAGCTTTCTGAAACTCAGCTGGAATATCCATGAGGCCGTAAAATCCGTTTTGAAATTATAAGTCCCGGTGGGATTGTCACTAACTAAACTGAAATTACGTTGTTCTCGAGTTAATTAGTTCAATGGGGTTTGTGAATACGCATATCGCAGATCTAATGTTGAGACTGAAGCCTGCTGCTTATTGTTCGATTTCATCACTTCTGCTATGTTGTCTAACAGGAAATCAGTGTTAGGCATTTGATGTATGTTCTTGTGAAAAATTTTGTTTATCTGGATTATCTTTTTGTGAATAATTTTGACCAAAGCAACTTTGACCATCTGGTGTTTTTTCACGGTAATCAAGATCGGACTGATAATTTGTCGATCCGAGCATTTGCTAAATTTCACTCCGTGTTTTTGGTCGATAAGCTTGTTGAGTTCTTTCCCGATTGTTCTTGTAGGTGCACTCGTATACGGCGTCCTTTTTGTTGGATCGAAATAACGTCTTTGCTAAATTGCCTTCGCTTAACCTAAGTTTCTGACTTTCCAATACGGACACATCATTGTGGAATTTTTGTCTTTAGCCCATTGTTTAATATGAAGGTTTGATTCTTCTGAATTGTGTATATTCAGCACGTCCCCTTGTTTTTATTTTTCTTCAACTAATTTAATTCCGATCTGTGGTAAGGTATTTCTACCAGTAATGTTTGTTTTCTGGTCATCAACAATGATGAATGGGGCGGCCTGTATGTTCCAGCCTCCTGATTTCATTATTAGGGTCATTCTTCCTTTTGGAATTATTGTTTCGCCGTTGTAACATGCCAAATTCCGAGCAGCGTCTTCCGGTGGGATTCGTTTAAGCAATGTTGACTTGTAATTTTTCTGCAGCCGTCGAGCTGTTTTTTTTGTTTAAAAACGACCTTGAACTCCCGGAATGTGCGATGTCGAACAGTTTTTCTGTTTTCGTTGTGAGCTTAACTATTTGTCCGATAAGATCATCTTCTTTTAAACTGGCCGTATTCATAATTTCGAACGCTTCCGAAATTGCCATTACCGAAAATTTATCAGTTTGGTATTCGTCCCAACCATCTTTGGATAAAAGCTCTGCGAAAGCTACTGGATCGTTATCCGTTTCTTGAATCTCAGTCTCAATTTCTTCCTGTTCCTCATCATTTTGGTCCCCCATATAAATGACATTTCCTGAACGGCCCACATTGGCAAAATGACCCTGTTTGGCATTTGAACAATTTTTACTCTTTTCGGGACACGATTGTAAGTGGTTCTGTCCAAATTGAGTAGTACATTTGTATCATTGTCTCTGAGTGTTGAAATTGTGTTTCGCTGTTGTTGTTGTCCTCATGTATTTTGTTGTCCCCGAGAATATGGTCGATGGCAAAATCAAACAACTGTCCATACGAAACTTTAATTATCGACTGAGCTATTGCTCATGTTTTTTCTTTGGCGTACAGCCGTACAAGGTCATTTGACCAAACATGTTGTTTAATTTATATCAATAAGTTATAAAAGTATGCACCAATGGTGCTAAGTTTATCCATCCGTACCGGATAACTTCCATCCGTACCAATATAAGGTAACAATGAGAGGAGAGCGCGCGTTGAGAACGCTAATTCAAAAAACAGTTGCTTATTAATATTTGAGAGAACACAAAAGTTTATGTTGGTCGACCTCAATAGCGTCTATACAAAGATTCAAGAGAGCTTAGAAAATGAAGTTGATTGACCTAAAATAGGTCGTGTAGAACGATTTTTGAGAGCTCAAAAAATGAGGTTGATCTACCAAGAAAAAGGTCGACAATGTTTTTATCTCGAAAAAATCCAAGTCTAACCCTGCTACAGGGGCGTATTTAGGGGGGGGGGGACGCCCCCTACCCCCTTAGGGATTCGACCCCCTGCCGACCCGAAGAGTCCCCCTTTGCTACTTTTTAAGAAATCCATTTTTGGCCGACTGACCCTAAAGTTTTTCTAAAGGCGCCTTTTGCGCCAATATATATACTAATTTTGAAGGGGAGCGTACGCCAAAAAAACGCGATTTTTTTGTCAAAATTTTAAAAAAAAATGCCCAAAAACGTCTTTTGCTATATTTGAGGAGAGCTCTGAAAGTCAATTTGGTCGACCTAAACAAAGGTCGTCAAAATTTTCGAAAATTTTTGAAAATCCGCCACCCCCTCGAGAAAATCCTAGATCCGTCCCTGCCCAGCTATGAACGTTTGCTGATTTTTGCACCACTGAGAACAACTAAAGACTGCTAGCTGTTCTAGTTATGAGATATAAACACTTTAAAAGAACACTACTTAAATGTTTTCTTGAAACGCCAAAATATCACTGAAATACATGAAATAACAAAAAGTCGTCATAACCGGTTGTTGTTGTTTTAAGTTTGCGCGACGTTCCAGAGGGAGAGATTTTATCTGATGATGAAGACACAGCAGTGCAGAAAACCGAAGCCGAACCTAGTAACCGAAACAGTGCAATCTTCATCGAAGCCATCCGGCATTTAGAAACAAATGCGACAAAGGAAGTGGTTAGATTGTTAAAATTATATGAATTCATGCATATCGTTTGAAATTTAACACAAAGAACCAATTCAATAACATAGAAATAACTCTTGCCTTCGATCTTTTAACCTTTTTGACCAGGTTCGTTGGAAACAATTAAGCTTTTTTCAACCCTACTACTCCGATTGGCTTAGACATCTGAGTATGCTGTTTTCAATCATGCGAAACTTCTATTCATACAATTTTGTACAAACGCAAAAAAAGTCGGACTGGGTTGAGTGATATATCAAAATGAAGCCCTTTCAATCATGATTCGAACGATTTTTGAAAACTCTCAAAGTTCACATCAGTGTCGAGAAAAACCGGTTTGAAACTTTCAATTTTTAGTCTTAATTCCAGCGAATGAAGCGAGCCAGTAGGCCAGCAACAAGAGCAGGCTCAAGTTTTGCCTAATTAAAGACTTCAATTTTTTTAAAGCTATTAAACTTTTTTGGAGCTTTTAAGCTTCATTTTGGTAACCAAAAAGCTTTTTTTGTTTTCCTTAGTCTTTTTTTAATATAGTTTTTCCAACTTGCCTATTTTACTATTACTGTCTAAAACACCTAAATTAGGTTGCTACGTCTTTTTGATCGAACTGAAATCTTTTTATCAAACTAAAAAAAAAAAACAAGACTAATTTAGAAAAAAGTCTAAACCGTAGTTTTTTAAGGACTATGGTCTTATTTATACTATGGTCTTTTTGAGGACTATGGTCTTATTTATACTATGGTCTTTTTGAGGAATATGGTCTTTTTGAAAACTATTCGATATAAATTTTAAATATTATACGATTATCATTTTATGTAACCGTTGTGTTTTGTCCACGGCTCACTGAATAAAAAAATTTCGGTGAGACCAATTATTTTTTTCTCGCATAACAATTGTTCCGGTTTCATTTAAATACTTAACATGCCAAAAAGTACAGAAGTTTTTTTTTGCTTTCGTTACAATAAAATTCATAAACATGAACTTCATTAGTTTAAGTGACGACCTTGAAAGAAAAAAATGTTATATGTAAAGAAGTACTCACAATGATCTTGTTGACTTTTCCTCGACAAGCAAAAAATTTTGTTTTGTGGTTCGTTTTTTCAGAATTTATTTTGATTTCCACTTTTAACTTTCATAAATTTTTTAGGCAGTTAGTAGCATTGCATCATCCCGGATCCTAAGGGAGACGTTCCTAGCTGGGGGGGGGGGGGGTTTACTCACGTAAAGCAAAATCTAAGGAAGTGGGTCCTTAAACTTTAGAGAACCCCTATTCTAGAATTTTCTAAATGAATGTAAGTTCCCACCCCTAACAAAGTCCACCTGCTAAGGATGTTTCTAACCTTAGCTCATCAATCATGTCCCCGATCAAATAATTCCTTCTAAATCGCCCGTAAAGCGCGCCCTTCTCGGCGATACTAAAACTTAATCATCCTGATTCCTGAACTTGTTCCCTTCGTCCTAGTTTCATTGTAATTAACTTTTCCTGGCTTTCTTTCTTTTTGTTGAGAACCTATCTTGCTAAAAAGTTTGTTACTAAAACTGAGCCAAAGGATTTTACGCATTGATTTGATTTGTAGCGATTGATTTGTGTCACTTTATTTTGTTTGCCCGTAGCTATTCATAATAAATCAGTGATTGATCTGTTTTCAAATACAAATTTACTGGTTAATAGTTTAAACTCGAAACAAGTTTAGGCCGAAGTAAAAGAAATGAAGAACAGTAAGAAATATTCTCAAATATGAAACCCAATGTTTATTGTTTTTTGTTTCGATTTCCTTTGCGCTGTTTTTAAATGCTTTTTTCCGAAGCTTCGACGAACAAAATGGGTTATACAAAGGGGTACATTCAAGGAATCTGCTAGTCAACGCTTACTCTTCTCACTGCTCTGCATCTGAGTAGGACGCTGTAACAATCCACGATCCGGAAAGTGAAATTCTGGCGAACTGTTATCACTGTCCTAGTATGATCATTGTATGATTTTGTCCACTCGACTTCTAGGTGAATGTCTTCTAGAATAGCATTTTGTATTGAATAAACTGTCGAAATCCCGACAAAAAGTAGCAAAAATTTTGAGTCGAGTGTTGATAATGCAAGTTTGTTCTGTTTCAGTGTCATATTAGTGAGAACTTTCGAAACAATTTTATAGTTGTACACTCTCATTGTTGTCACAGTGACTGGTGTGTCCCTGAAGGCTTGTTTTATCTGTTCTTGCGCATTTTGTTTCAATCTTTCAGCACTCAACGTTTGTGTGCCATCTAAACAGAAGCCATTTTATCATTCTTTTTTTTACAAGGCAAGGGAAAGCTATGTTCTCAGGTAAGTCAATCTTTACACAACATTATATTATGTAGCCTCAATCAGCTTAAGACCCGTGATTTATTGCAACACTGTAAGGGGAGGGAGGTTGAGAGTGGTGGTGGTGGTGGTGGTGATTTTACTGATAAAAGGGAGGTAAAAGGGAAAAATGGAGTACTCGCCCTTAACGATAATTGAATCCAGTTTCGGTGTTAAAGCAAAACGTTCTATAATCGGCCTTCCACTAGCCTCGTCTTTAAACTTCAACATAATTTTTTGATGGTGATGTCGAACAGTGAATGATGCTCATCATAATTTGAGATGTCGAAGTCAGCTTTTTCCCTCTAAGTCTCGGTAAACGTCATCAATTTTCATGGCCTAAAGAGAACTATCCGTGCCAAAAAACAACGTTTTTAAAATTAGTATAGGATTCTTTTTTTGATATTGAAACACAATAATGAAACAATTGGCGAGATCTAAGATGGTCGCACTAACTATCAAAGGTTAGTCCCATAACATTTTTCTTACTGAAATGATAAATCTTTACAATCTCCAGTGTCTTTCTATTTTTTTGCTTTCGCTTTTTACCAATTGCTGAACTAACAATAAGCTTGTGAAATATCTGTTGGAATTTTTAGCTGTGAGATTTTAGGTGGACTTTGAGGTCGACAAAAGAGGCCATTCAGTGACTCTGGCGAGAATGGAGTTAGTTTCCGAGTTCGCTTATTTTCAATCCGATTTCCTGTTTGTTTGCTTCAATTTTGAGGATGTAGGTTGACGTTTCTTAGGGCAAAAAAACGTGGAGGTGTTCATTGTTTGGCTTCCAAAACTCTAAAACCGTTGTGAGAAAACCGACAACATGACCCGTTCTATCACTCGGTGCACAAGAACCAGATGTTCGCAACCCATTCATGTCGGGCTTACAAAATTTTAATTAAGCGTTCCAGAAAAAACTACTTGCCGCGAAGTAACAGGCGCAATCAAGCCCGTAGGTTTGATAGCAACTTTCACAAAAAGTTTAGAAAATGGGAGCAACTAGTAGCACATCTGTAGTCAAACACATTTCTTGGTTATGACCAAGTGAACCAAACTTCAGTTTGGTTGAAACTTTCGGGTGATGATTGTACTCGTATCTGGTAACGTTCACATATCGTCTTGTAAGACAATTCTCCACATTGTTCGCAGGAAGAGTCGAGTTTCTCGGAAATTGTCGAGAACTTTGAGATGAGAGTTAGTATAACGCTTTATTTGTGTCAACAATTGACTTTGTCGGTAAAGTGGCCGAGTTTTTAAAAAAGTTCTACAGCAAAAAAAAAACTTTTTCTAAGGCAAAATATCGAAACTTCGAAGTTTAGGTACTTTTTGATTTTTCAATTTTGTCCCTGTACATTTTTAGAGAGATTTTGATCCTTTACAATTTTAGAAAAATATAGAGATTTTCAAAGAAATAAATGATTCTTTAGAAGCTGATAAGGCCATTTTTTATACAATTTGATTCCTGCCAGCGCTTTGATTATAAAACATGAATCTTAATTTGACAAATTATGAGCTGCCAGTGGAATTTATTTTGATATTTTGTTGATAAAATTATAATCATTTTGTGCACCAACCAGAAACTTCTTGGTGTAATGAAAAAGATCAGAAAACACTTTGATAATGATTTTTTTCTGAAAAACTGTTCTCGAATATCCAACCATCCATAGCAGTTTGCAGTTCCTGGCCTGTTATATCGGTGAAAGTTTTAACAGCGATTATGTTTGACACTATTAAGGGGAACAAATGGCCATCGTTGAACCTGAAGGTAAAATTTTTAAAAAATATCAAGCTGTGGAATAAAAAAAGGGTTTGAAAAAATGAAAATTTTTAATTAGGAGGTGTTCAAACATTCGGAAGTCAATTCAAACGTTTTTTTACCGGAAGACAATAAGTTGACTATTGTTCAGCCTCTCTAAACTATTCGCATCCATTAGACCCATCAGCCTTTCGTGTTCCTCATAGGTTTTCACACTTACTTTGTCGAGAATGTAGACTGAAACTTTGACTTTCTTCAGCCGCCGTGTAAAAATTGGAAAGAGGGCCGACTCATTCATTCTGTTTTATGCTTAAAAACAGAAGTATAGAAAGCAACGGTCATCATCGTTAGTGTTGATACTCGTGAGCAGAGTAGAAGAAAGTTGAGTGAATCAGATAGCTCGAGGTTGGATCCTTCTTTTATTTTGGAATGGTTGACTTGATCAATCAGTTCCTTTTATCGGTTCCAAGCCATTCCCTTGGTGTACACTGTCAAAGACTTCGTGTATAGAAGTAGTATTGTCCTTTCGTATTTTCCAGTGTCCCCGTCTTGCACAGAGGGTCTTTTGATCATCCCCACTTCCTCATGGAGTTGCACTTTAATTGAGAGTCTTCTTCTTTCTTGCTTAGCAACATGACTTACAGAAAACTTTTTTTCATCAAGTTTAAGATCGTTTTGGCGCAATTTTCCTCTGAACGCGCCATGTTTTGCGCAGCTAAAGAGTTCCTCCCGATGCCATCCCCAACTGGCAATACGTGTTTCTTCGGCAGAGATTGTTGATAGCTTTCCGCAGTGAGAAATTTCGTATGGCAACAGATACAATGACTACTGGAAGTCAATCCATGCTTAACGTGCACTCAGGATTCTGCACCCGGGCTTCCGCAGTTTCCAGAGGCTCATCGCAAACAGTTT